TGTTTATGCATTGCTTTAAGCTTGATACTCAAATAATTAGCAAGCTATCTTACTGTTTTTATTCTTAAGTACAGTTTTGTGCTGAATTAAGATACAGTTTGGGTGCTGGAGGGAAAATTTATACGTTTTGGAATCAATTGGAGGTAACACGGGAAGTAATGGGAATTTAATAAACGTTATATAAGTTTTCACATTACGAGCCGTTTTTTGGGGAACGAATTAAGTTCCAATAACAATGGATTACCGTAATTATATATGAATAAATCAGAGTCTTCTATGCAGCATTGTGGAAAAGGTCAATAGAACAGTGGATCAAGTGGGGAGCTGCGTTACTATGTGGAAGATAAAGGGTGCAGGCATGTGTCCCAAAGGAGAAGGAAAGAAGGCATGTCAGAATGTGTACGGCCGGTGAGAAAGTGTCCCATCAATGCCCAAAACCAGGTCCCTAAAATGCGTCTTTTTTCAGTTGATGAGGGATATCCTTTTAACTGCATTGAGAGGGCCGTCACCCAAGCCATTAACAGCCAACATTAGCCTCTGGGGCGATTATCACCTGTTCCTTTGCAGCCAACTCACCTCTCTATTTCAATAAGCATTTAAGGAATTCAGGTGGGTAACTGCGTCAGCATGCGTGGGCTGTAAAGGAACAAGTAATAGGTTTATTCCATGCTGAAAAGAGAAGAAAGCAACATTTCTTGTGGTGAATCAAGACTTCTTTCTTCTTATACCTGAAGAAGGCTCCACAGCCGAAATGTTGTTTCCTTTCTTCTCTTTTCAGCATGGAATAAAGCATTTAAAGGAGTTTGAAGTGATGTTCAAAGAAATACGGAAATAGACTCAGTTAATGGATAGAGAACAAAGATAGAGTCTCTCTTTAAAGCGGTGTAGACAAAAAAAAACACATATTGTAGAGCAGTGTATTGATCAAGGTTATAGCCACAGGTATAAATGAGAAGACCTGTTTGTTGTTAAATACGGAAATCTGTATCTGAGGGAATTAATTGGAATTTGTTAAACAATGTGTGAAGAGGCCAGTAAAATGGAATATGCACAGCCATATCACCCTGCAATTCACAACCGGCAACCCACTGAAGCTCAGCAGGTGTGAGCCTGGTCAGTACCTGGATGAGAGATCTCCTGGGAAAAACTAAGGTTGCTCCTGGAAGAGGTGTTAGTGAGACCAGCAGGGGGCTCTCACCCTGTGGTCTGTGTGGGTCCTACTGCCCCAGTAAAGTGAGGGGGACACTATACTGTAAAAAAGGCGCCGTCCTTCGGATGAGACGTAAAACCGAGGTCCTGGCTCTCTGTGGTCATTAAAAATCCCAGGGTGTTTCTCGAAAAGAGTAGGGGTGTAACACTGGCGTCCTGGCCAAATATCCCCCTGGTCTTTACCAATCATGGCCTCCTAATAATGCTCTCTTCCCCAACCCCCACGGTGGTGAGCGTTCTGGTACACTCTGGCCGCCATCGCATCCTCCAGGTGGGTGCTGCACATGGGTGGTGGTGGTGGAGGGGAGTCCCCATTACCTGTGAAGTACTTTGAGTGGAGTGTCCAGAAAAGCGCTATATAAGTGTAAGCAATAATTATTATGCAAAATACTTAGCCATTAGACATAGGATAGGGTCGAAACATCAGCACAAACGACCTTCTGACACAGTTTGAGAATAGTTCCCAGTTTCTGCTTACTCCTTGGATTCAGATTCCCAAAACAGCAGATCAGGGCAAAAGTTAAAGCAGATTTAATAAGAAATGAGAAAACATGATCAATAGAAAATGAAAACTTTAAAATACTAATATAAAATTTAGTTTCTTTAAGCCAAAATAGATGTTGTTGCCCCTTATTTGAGAATAACATTAATGTTGGTCTCAAAATTTAACCTGCAGTCCAGAACAGTCCCCAGATACTTATATTTGTCTATTTCCGCTTACAGTATTCGCTCCTGCAGTTTTAAGAGGAGGAGTGAGGGTTTATCCTGAAATCAACTGCCTTGTCTTTGGTATTAGAGACATTCAACATTTTCAAGTTTCACACAAAGTGGCAACCTCATCTTCACCTGGCCCCTTGCCCCTTCTCATCTCCTTGCAAGAAACTAACAATAACAAGTCGCCTGCAAGTTTAATTGTGTCTTGAGTAGAACTCTTACAGTCATTTGTATGCAAAAGAAAGAGTAATGGAGACAATACACATCCTTAGGGGGAAGCAGTGGAAGAAAACAGCTCGTTAGACAGGAATTGATGTGGTAACACAGGGAACTGTATTAGCATGACTAAGACAGTTGTATTAGCATGTATAAGCATGGATTAGCATGACTAATACAATTTTCCTGGTATATTTCCATCATCTTGATTTTGTTAAAGTTGGTTAACTACACCGAACAGACACTGCAGGAATTGGAAGTTCAGCTGCACATGTACTTAAACTGGAACGATTCAGAGAGAAGGTGGAAAGGATATTTAATGGGAGGTTAGTATATCCAGTTAATAGCATAAAAGTTTGTATCAGGGGATATGTCAAGATTTTACAATGACTTCATTTAGTATTATTGAGAGGGTCTCTGTGAACTTTGTACACACGTTTCCTGCAGAAGATGCAATATTTCATAAGGTGGACATTCAGAACTGGTTTGAACTGGATTGGAAGAACGTTGGACACAAGGCCTACTATACAATTCTATCATGTTATATAGGAATGGGTGCTACGAACCCAAGTAAAAAATTGTATTAAAATAAGTTATCTTTAGCAAATAGGGAAGCCGGAAGATGTGCGTGATTTTGGAACACTGTCAATCTTGTAAATCCAGGGAACAGAAATATTTAAGGACTGTTCTAGTTTAATTGCTTTGAGAAACATACACTGAGCATCTCTGTGTGTTTCACTTTTCATGCGCATGAAATAAAAACTTAATTTAACTTCTGAGATGGCTTTTAAGGGGAAGTGGGCGAAAAATGTCTCAAACAGTGGAGTGCAGGCAAGAGAGACCAGACAGATACTCGAATTTAAAAACGATGCCCTACACCGACGGACTAAGAAAATGACTTTTGTTAGCTTTGAACAGAGAAGACAAAGAGGGTACCTGATCAAGTATTTTTAATCTTGCATCCCATAGGCTTCTAAAGAATCAAGCCTTAAGAATGAACCAGAATGGTAACTACAGTAATTCAAAATGGAATACAGGAACCTATACATTATACTCCTCCCCACTGATAGCTGATGTGTGGTGAATGTTCTGGCGCACTATGGCTGCAATCGCATCATCCAGTTTGGAGGCTGCACATTGGTGGTGGTGGAGGGGAGTCCCCATTACCTGTAAAGGTCTTTGAGTGGAGTGTCCAGAAAAGCGCTATATAAGTGTAAGACATTATTATTACTATACAAAACAATGTGCAATTTTGGAACCAGCCACCCTGCCATGTTGATGATGTCAAAAGCTTTGCTTCTTTCCAGAAATGACTGGATAACAAAAAAATGAGTTAGATAAGCCAAATGTCCTTCAATGTTTTGCAGAATTTCCCTATAATGGAATTTCCCATTTCTTATAATGACGGTCTCCACCTTCACAATTACTGGTTAAGCTTCTTGGAAGCCATGGATGAATATTTTTTTTTATTGTCTTTATAAGGTCTCAGATTACTGCTCTCGACACCCAGATTTAAACAAATCAGGACAAAGAAAGATGTCATGTCTGATCTATGCTTGTATGTTATTTTGTTTGTAAGCTGTATATTCCAAAACAAACTGGCATTTCAGGGTAGATACAAATTCATTGGCCCAGTTTATGCTGCAATGTTATATAAGTCGTAAACTGCAAACATCTGAAAAGTTGCAAGTCTACACTATTCAAGACAGCATTATCACAGGTACTGCAGGTAGTGGAGTTCAGTGTCGTTTTCAAACCGATGATAAATGCAAATCTTTTCGGTCTGCTGCTTTTGCTGTAGAGATTTGTGCAGCATGCAATGACCCATATAGAGCTATAAATACTGTATACGTAAACCCTAACTTAGAGACAAAACTTTATCTCATATCAGATACTGGTTAATCTTGAAAGGCTATGTTTAACATTAGGATTAAGTCAACTGCAGCATTTTTACTTTTGCAAAAGAATAAACATGAAATAGTTCCATTTAAAAGTAAACAAAAAGCAAACATTCAATTTCTGGCGCTCAGTGACATTCTCTTGGCTTAGAAATCTGAGACTGAGAATTGCAGTTCTGCTTGAAAAACAAAAAAGGTTTTGTCTATCTGGTGAACTTTCCATTTTCCTTTTTTGGTATTCAATTTATTTTTAGCATCATGTTACTATTCTTTGATATCTTTATATGCCTTAAGAAAATAAATATATAGTACTCAAAACAGTTAGGGCTTTGAAATCTTAAGGTCCCGAAAAGCTTGACAATTTTTCTACACAAACGCAAAAATCTTACTCTTTCCAGCTGAACAGTCTTACAGTTAAAATAAAACAATTAGATCCAATTATTTCTGTGCACTGGGAAATGCTTAAATGAACCACAGTGAACTACAGATTCATGAGAACGTGTTTTGCCATAAATGTCCTCTGACTTGGCATCATCATTAAATCAAATTCAGTCCTAATATCCATTACATTTGCTACAATAAAATGCACTGTACATTTAGTAAACTAATTACTTCTGTGAGGAATAAAAATAATGTGTGAAGTACTGGAAAGGAAGAACGAGAAGATAGAACTGTGTTACAGAGCACTTGGAGAAAAATGGAAGAAAAATCTCATTTGAGGCCATTTCATGTAAACTGATTTGCATGTCATCTCTTGGCTTATAAATGGGAGTAAATAGGAAGAATAACTATCCAAGGTTCATGCAAAGGAGCTACAGATGACCCTGGAGCTCTAGCCCGCAGCTGTGCACGGAGAACAGAGGGAGGACGGCTTACCAATTTGCAGCAGTACGGGTGTGACGAGGGCAGTCTCCATGGCGTAGCAGAATTCCCGTCCAAACATCACGGCGCCGTGCATCACCCAGCGCCGCATGGGAATCCGGTCTATAGAGCCCTCGCTCACCGATTCATCCTGGCTTTCCACCTCTCTCCCGCTGCTGCCCTGCTTTTTCACAGGGGCCACGGCGATATTCTCAACTTGCATAGTATCCGAGTCAGCGTTCTGGGGCGCCATGCTGGTCAGCATTAAAAAAAATAATCAACCCAAACGATACAGCTTTGTTCCTTTAACAACGATCGATTGGCGGTTTGTCTTCGATTGCACTTAGTTCCTTTTGTCTTTGTCCCCTTCCTGGTGATCAATTCTCCAGAAGTGTGGCGAAGTGTGAAGACATTCCTTGGGGGTTCTCAAGAGCACAGACAGGTATTTGGTAAGGACATGCAATAACATATGGCTTCGTCATGGGCTTTACTGTCTACTACAATTAATGAAAATCCATATTAATTGCCATTCAGTTAATACGAGTTTCATGATTTCTGTGGAAGAGGTCCTGAAGAGGGAAGGCAGGCGGCGGAGTGGAGGGGAGGCGACACCAGTGGGAGCTCCTCGGAAGATCCCCATCGAGTGGCCGATTAATCTGCAGAGCCACAGGCCCGGGAGGGAGAGAAACAGACGCCAAAGTTAGCGAAAAACATTCGTTTACATCACCTTTTGTTGAAAGCACAATAAACAGAAGGTGGGCCAATAGGGAAGCAGCAGCAGCAGCAGAGCCATCAGCAACTGTGTGTAGGGGAACATGCATCACCGAACCACAAAGTCAACCCCACCACCTGGATTTTTATTAAGAAAGGTGAGGCCTCTCTTTAGAAGAGGGAGAAATGGACTCTTTTTAATAATTTTGTGGGCCGAACGGTGGCTCTGTGGTTAAGGATCTGCGCCTGTGGCTGGAAGGTTGCCGATTCAAATCCCACAGCCGGCAGAGGAATCCCACTCCGTTGGGCCCCAGAGCAAGGCCCTTAACCCCAACTTCTCCAGGGGCGCCGTATAAATGATTGACCCTGCGCTCTGACCAAGCTTCTCTCTCCCCACCGCTGTGTGTCTCATGGAGAGAAAGCTGGGGTATGCAAAAAGACAAATTCCTAATGCCAGAAATTGTAAATAGCTAATAAAGTGATCTTATCTGATCTTTTTGTTGCTTTTAAAGTGACATAAGGAATTGTAAATCTACTACAACGTACAACTCTTCATTGAAACAGAAAGAGACTAAGAAGCAGACAAACAGTTTAACTTCACTGCCTTTACACTTCTGAACAATTCAAACAGGTGAACCTGTGTGCAGGCAGCAGGACCGTGTAGAGGCAAGGGCTATGAATTTGCACCTTAGGTTAAAAACTTAAACCCCTGGGGATGAGGGTAAGCTGCTATTGTACTCCTGGACAAGATACTTGACTGAAATAAGATTCATTGAAATTCCCAGTGTCATAAACAGGTAGAAAAATGTCACATTAGATAAAAAAGACAACCAGATAATCTGATGACGATATGAAAAGAGAAAAAATTAAATGAAAATAGCTACGGCAAGCTGTATATGTACGAAATCCTTCTTTAGCAAAGCATGCTTTATACCAAAGTTACAGCAACGGGTTCTGAATTCTTACTTGAACACAGTGCGGAATTAACATGTTTCAGAAGATTACGGGTTTTCTTTGTTTAGAGATTAGCCTATGCTGGTCTGGCATAAAAAAAAAAACAAGGAATTTAGCAGGAATTAGATGAATATGAAAACAAGCAATTTGGAATAGATTCTCCATGTTGTTTTTGTAAAACAGGTACAACAAGTATTGGGTGTACAGATTCTTCAAACTGTAAAATAATGGTCTTCCTTCATTTTTCTAAAAACATTTAGTGCAGCTAGGAAGCATATACAATCCCACAAAGAAAAAGGAAGCAGTGAAGTGAGTTGTGCACAACACAGCTATAGGTACAAAATAGCACATTTCTGTGATTACTGAAGCGATTTGACACACCTTGAATTTAAATAGGCAGTTTGCTCTTTTTTTGCAATGCTTCAAATTTTCTAAAAAACATGTTGCGTTGTGTCGTGTCACGCAAATATTTACTATTAAACCAAAATGCAAAATCCACTTGGTCTCAAGTATGTTCACAATGTAATAGTGCTGCTTTGTTGCCATGTTCTGAATCACAGAGAAAGACTGCAATATGTCACTGTGCATACATTGAAACTGTCTCTTTTGGGATCTATATTGGAGGTTGTACATGTTACCATGTACTTGGTAGTTTCACTGAGGTTTAAAACACACTCGTCATTGCCAATTTATTATAACCCTCAAAATGTAAAAACATTGTTGCAGTTCCCCTTTAAGTCCTGATCATAATGCAATTATTTTAAGACTAAAACTATTAATGGTTAGCTATAAAAGTTGCTGGACTGGGGTTCTCCATCAGCAGGGTTGGAGGTCTCCCTGTAGTTATTTCACGGAGATGAATTCTTGATCTTTGCTTACAGTCTCAGCCACCATGCATCCTCTTGTTAAATTAAACTACATTAATACACTAAATCTGCCTTAGGCCCAAAATGTCAAATGGTAGTTCCCCAATTTCAGTGCTTGATGGCAGCTCTTTGTTTGCCAGTGGATTCAAGCATAAGCTGTAATATGCAACTAGCTGAGAGTATCAAAGTTCCAATCTGTTCTGGTCCTTTCTCTCCATATTTGAGGGATCTAATAGAAAACGTAAAAGCAATATTAACAGGGACAGGAAAAAAACCCATGAGAAATACATTTTATCACTCCCACTACAGACACTTGTGTACCTAATGCATCTTATCATCATAATATTTGAGAAGAATAGATCTTCTCTCCATTAGAACTGCTTCTTCTAATTCATGATCGTGGGGGAGCCAGAGACTATCATGGCAAGCAATGGCCGCATGGAAGAATACACCCTGGATGGAACACCAGCCCCTTGCAGGGCACACACACAGACACTCACTGTTACTAGGGCCAATTTCCTCAGAAGCCAATTAACCTACCATCATGTCTTCGGACTGTGGGACGAAAGAGACCCTACCAGTTAAAAAAAATGCAAAATCATCCTGCAAGCCAAGTGCCTGTCACACTTCTTTCCCAGTCTCACGAATGCCTGCTCTAAATGGGATGCTGGCAGGAGAAAAAAAATAATTCAATCCATGGGAACCAAAAACCCTTTTTTTCCATGAAATACTTTGACAGGAGCCTGTTTTTAAACCGATACAAAAGAAGATGGCTGCATGATGATGATGTCTCTTAGTGCAGAGACTGTTTTAGTCCACGCATACAGAGGACAAATATTGGCATAACTTAATTTGCATAAAAAACAAGTTTAACATGGATATTCTAACATCTAAAGAACTGAAGGCTCTTAGATTGTGGAAGATTTTAATCTTCCACAATGCAGCTTCTGAACTGCTTTAAAGAAGTTGTTTCTTTAAAGTTTACATTGAACAAAAGAATACTTTCTGGGCTGGAATGACAATACTTCACACATATCCTTCTTACCATATTTATGTTTATTGCCGAAAAGATACATACATATTCAAAAGCTTTTTTTAAAAACTGCACATTCTCCGATCTTGACAGAAGATATTGAATCAATGTTCATCGTGGATTTTTCTTTCATTTCTTGTATAATAAATCACCAAATAGTGTCACTAAATGGTGCTTTAACCTATCTAAATGAAAAATGCAGGGACTGATTTATGTAATAAAAACACCAGAGCATTTTTACCACTAATAGTGCAGATTTCTGAATTATTTACGTAATGTTATTTAGTTGATCACACGTCGTTACCATATAAATGGTGTGAAAGTGGATTAGTGGATCACAGCTGCTTATTAAACGAAGAACTCACGGTACTCATTTCAGTCTATAATCCCAAACTACCAATAACACAGAAGCGATTACAGCAATTGTAAGGTGTTTGACATCCCTAAGCTAACATATAAAATATGGAAATCGTATGCATATTTAATTGTTCAGATTAGGACTGTTTCCTATGCGTTCATATGACAATTTTGTAACAGACACAAACATTTGGTTGGGTTTTTGTGTTTGACAGAAATATGCCAGTAACTTTAGCTCCTTCCAAACAGAAAAAATGGCACTGGGAGAACATGTGAGATTTCTTATTCCTCATCAGTCCAATCAGACAGATTCCCCAACTAGTTTATCAGAAAATACCTTTTGGATATTTCAGAGACCGCACGAACGTATAAATGTGTGTAAACATGAAAGCGAGAAAAGAAAAAAAAAGCACTATTCTGTTCTTTTGCACAATACAAAATCTAGCATTAGAAAGAAAGTATGCTAAAAAAACTCCGATTGAAGGTTTTGCAAATGTCTCTTTTTACTGCATCTAGAGATGGGAGATTATTTCTCAAAGAGATTAACACACTAAAACTCAGTTTATGAGTGCCTGGTAGTTACAAACCAGCATTATGAGAGGTCTCAAAAAAATGTATTGCTTGAGGAGCTGGATTTAAGCACATAACTGTGAATGTGTGAAAAAAAAACAACAAATAAAGGGCTGTTTCACTCACTCTGTGAAAATCATGGGCTGCCATTTTTGGCCTGTTCACACTAGCTTATGGCTTGCACATCGGTTTTTGTTAATTCAACATCCATGAACCACTTGTGTGTAATAGTACAGTCAAGTTACTTCTCTGCTGAATGAAATCAGGTACATTTCTTTAATAATTAAAGGGTTTGCATAATAAAATTCAAATGGCTTTGCTCCTTCTCAATGTTTTTCATGTGCTCATCTCTCTGAACTTTCTTTCCCTGGTGACTGTGTAAATGCATCACTTATGTGCATTTACACAGGGAAAGAAGGTTCAGTTTAGTTCTAATAGAACACGTATTAATTTTTGCATTGCTGTTCAACAGTGCTGTCCTATCTAAGGTAAAAACTCATTGGAAACTTTCATGCAGGATCTTGGATGTAAAAACATTGCTAAAAGAAGTCAACATCGTCCTGTCCATTTTTTCCGGTCTTTAAATCAGTAAAAATTCAAGCTGGACAAATATAGCTGTCCACAATAAGGACAGTTATATTGGTATACTGTTTCACACAAGGCAGGCTGGATAATTAAAATGGCAGTACCATGATATACAGTTGACCACACTGAAAACTGGATGAATAAAAACAAATGAATAGCATTCAGTTCGTATGAAATTCCAATCATCTATACAAACATGGCATTGCAAAATACAGATGTATACAAAGGTAATTCTAATTATAAACATAAGAAATTACAATGAATGTTAATGAATACTATATTCCAAGACTATTTAAGAGCACTGTTCATACAATTTAATGCTGATAATGGTGTCTTGTAGGTTTACTATATCACCTTCATCACGGACTTGGCCAATGACAAACTCTGTGTAGAGGCGTTTATCTAGCTTCTAAATACAGTCCTTGTGGAGCTATTTACAATGTACAATTCAGGTGTAACATGAAAACATCTGAATTCCTGTGCTGGAAAAAAATCAGCTTACAGACCAAGCATGTACCTTTCAGGATAGAAAAAGGATTAGGCAGTTTACGAAGCTATAAATCTCTTACACACAGTTTTA